TAAACTTGTCTTCCAATTTGCCGCAACACTTGATACGGTCCTTTCCACTGAGAAAAGAGCCTTTAGATAAACCATGTATAGTAAGATGGGGAAAACAAACTAACACCAAGTCATCCATTTTATACTTTGCAAGTGGATGATGATGGGAATTGTAGCACTGTTGTTGTTCCACTTATATGCAGCCTAAGTGTTCGATAGACTCCGCTCGGATAAATGGAAGAATGTTCATCAAATACTGATCCCATGACCTAGCATCGGTAGCTCGTGGCAATCGCAAAGGTAAACCTAGCTCTATTGGTAATATTGGATGATGACCATATAAAAGTTTATATGATGAAGCACAAATAAAACTTTGCACCCCTGTGACATATGCATACCGAAGAGACGGCAAATAACTATCCCAATCTGAATGCTGAAAGTTTACATACTTCACGATCATCCCTTTGAACGTCCAAATGAACCGTTCCACCAAACCATTTGATTGTGGATGATAAGCACTTATGAAAGTGTGGCGTATCCCCAACCAAGATGTTAAAACATGAAATCCCTCAGCCATAAATGCAGGACCATTATCCGAAAGACTCCACTCTCGATAACAATGCTGGAATACTACTTGATTGAGGAGGAAGTATCTAATAGTAGTTGCAAAGGCGCTAACAAAAGCACCAACTTCCACCCAACGAGTTAAGTAGTCATAAACAATAATAACATACTCTTTGCTAACAATCAATTGTAGAAAAGGTCTCATAAGATTAAACACCACCAACTCAAACGGATAGGAAATTGCAATTAACTCCAATTGTCCTTTTGTAGCACGAGGGGGAGTATTACGAACTTAACACCAAACACAGATATGCATATACTGAATAACATCGCATCGCATCGCATCTCCAGCCAATAGAAAGACCTACACAACTTCTTAGTCACACGACGATGTTCCATATGCCTGCCTAAAACCGGAAAATCATAGTAGGCATGAAGAAATTGTGGAATAAAAATGGAAGGAATCAATAACTGTAAATGATCATTATGATCCATCCCCACAAAATATAAAAGGCCGTCTTCAAAGTGATATTAACAATATAAATGCCAGAATAGCAAGTCATCAACAAGTGATACAGGATTCTTAAACTCTTCTTAAAGCCTTCGAATTCACGGCTCAATCTTTTGAGCCTCATGAACCTCATCAAAAGAAGATAAGTCTTGCTCTGTACCTTGTGAACACTGAACGTCAAATACAACAACCATCGATGGCACAAAATCCTCGTTTAGAAAATTCATAGATGCTGGAACAACAGGCTCGTCAAAAACATGAGAAGAGAGCGAAGAAGGAAGAGAAGCTCTAGAAAGGACATTAGCATCAGCCATAGAATTTCCCGAGTGATGAACAATATCAAAATTATATATCTGAAGCTTCAAAGCCCATTGAGTAGTACAACCAACCAAGTTTTTCCGCTTCAATAATGAAGTAATGGCAGCATGATCACCTTTTAGTAATGTCTGAAAACCATATAGATATGCATGAAGTTTCTTGCACTCTTTCTTTGTTGTAGAGTAGTTCACCTCCACTTGTTGTAATATATGGCTTATATACGCAATGGGATGGCACTAATCAAGAACATTCGAGCTCTTTTGCATCAACACACCTCCAAAACCAATATTAGAAGCATCCACACGCAAAATGAAAAGTCAAGTGTAGTTAGAATATGCCAATACCGGAGGAGTCATCAATAGCTCTTTGAGATCCATAAACGCTCGCTCACAATCCAAAGACCAGATGAAAGATGATGTTGATAACTTCAGTAATGCTCACAACAATGTAGTGTGATCAGAAAAATAATCCACAAAACGACCGAGATACTGCACCTTGCCCAAGAAACATTGCACATCATTTACATACTTTGGAGTAGGAAACTTTAGAATAGCCACAAGTTTGTCATGATTAACTTGCAAACCCTTATGAGAAATACAGTACCCAAAATAAATCATGTCCTTGGACCCAAACACACACTTTGATCGCTTCAATCCTCACGAGTGGCTGCACTCAAACCATTATACCATTATAGTGCCGTCCCTTGGAGATATGTGGGAAACTCACGCAAACGTCAAGCATTATCCTAAAAATGATATGTGGCAATCATTGTGAAGCAATCGAACCAATAGTACACATCATCCCCAGGATTCCTACGAAAGAACTCCAGCCGAACGTGAGGATTGGCACCAAGAGCAAGAGGAGTTGTATCGTATACCATGAATGCCGCCATCAATTGAGTTTGGTTGTTCAATTGCAATCACATAGCATCAAACAATTGCACCAACTATTGTTCCAGAGTCAAAAGAGGAGGAGACTGCTACTCTACCATGAAGATGAATAAAAAGGAAAGAGCAAAAGAAGAGAAATGAGAAGAAACTAGAAGGAAAGGGAAATTTAGACAATGGAAAAGTTAAATTTAAGCCAAAATCCTGAAAAGAAGGGAAATGGAAAAAGCTAAATATAAATGATGTAAAAGTTATATCTAAATTAAAATCCCAAATCCAAGCACTCCCCAAGGACAATAAAAGATGCATTTCACCTCTACCAATGTGAGTGAATGGAATATAGAAAGGAAATATAAAGAATGTACATATCAATTAGTCCAAAAACCCTAATTTATATACAAGAGCGAGTGGTCCAGATTGAAACTAATATGATAACTACCAAAATCCCACTACACTAATATTAGTATATGGCATCATAACTTGGACCTTATGGTGGTTTAAGTATTATTTTTTAAAATTTAGTTTTTAATAGATTATATGTGTATATTACATATGAAATATTGTTTATTTTATGATTAATTAAGTGTTTACACTCAGAATTTTTTTAACACTCTCAATGTTACGAGCATAATCTTTAAGTTAACAAATCATTCACTACTCACTTGCTAAAAAACTCAAATATAATGAAAGGAGTCATGAGTAAAACCCTACCTTAGGTTAGATTAAGCATAAAAGTCACAAATTGATTGTGGTTATCAATAATTCTACTTTTATTTATATATCTATATATATATATATATATATATATAAAATACACTGTTTACTTATAGATATCTCAACACATTAAAATCTTTTGTGCTCTTTTGGGAGGTCTCAACATCTAGATGTACGTGCGATCAGGGCTTATGCCCCAACATCTACTAAGGATCTCGTCGATCATGGCCACCAATGTCCAGTCCGGCAACAATCGCGCCGCACTGGACAAGAAGGTCCGTCGCTAGGCCCTAAGACGACAGAAGGAAGGCCCCGCGCCGCTGCCGTGTCAGTGACGTGGTGGCCCCATAGTTAGCAAGGACTGGCTAGTGTGGCAGTCGTTCATACGGGTGCTTATCTCGTGTGCCAAGCCGGTCTCGCTTCTCCACACTGATGTCGAGATTGGAACCACAGCCGCCGAGAGCTTGCTGGACCGGAGTCGACGTCCCAGTTCGTGGCGCTGTCACAGATCTACGCTGCCGCTGGGAAGAACTTCGACGTTGATGAGATCAAGAGAGAGTTGACACTGAGAAGACAACATCGCCTCAAAAGCGATGATCCCACCAGTTCACAGAGAGCTTGCCAAGAACCAACCAGCCTTGCTAATTGGAAGTGACCATTTACGACAAGGAGCTCAAATCTCAAGTCCTAGAGCGAAAAAACAATGAAAGAGGGAGAGAACAACGCAGGACGAACGAATGGGAAGAACAAGAACCACGGCGGACGAAAAGCAAGAAACGAAAGCATAGGAAGCGTAAGACACTCTAGCGACAAGAAATTTACGTACCAACAGCAAAACTTTTGTGGAGGACCGAGAAGCTGGAAGATTGTTGTTGGTGTTTTCGCTTGCGCGCGCCAAAGCCGGACTGGAACCATCACTCTCACGGAGCTGTAACTTCTTCTGGGAAGAACTTGGACGTGAACTTCTTCTTGTTACAGTTGAGCATCGCGTGGAGAGGGATGGCACCTTGATCCTTGAGCTTCTTGTGCCGGGGCCCGATCTTCCTGTTGAGGCTGTGGCCAAAGTAGGCCGGGAACTCCACTGCTTCCTCCAATCCCCTTCCCATGTCCCGCATGAGAAACTCCACCTTTGGTTGGATGGATCTCTTGACGCTCTTGACGAGAATCGGAGGGAAGCCAGCGACCAGCGTGGTGATCTGCCCGGCGCTCAGTCCAGCCGTGAGGAGATAGTTCACGGCCGGCTCCAAGGCCTTCTCCGCCCGGCAGATGATGTGAGGATAGCACACGATGATCTTCTTCAAGTCGTTCTTGGAGAGGCCGAGTTGGCGGAGATACTCCACCGTGACTTGGAGCCTGTTCTCGATGCTATAGCCGAAGATGTTTGGATACGAGCAGACGAGCTTGCCGAGCTCGTGTCCCGGCTCCACGCCGAGGCCGCAGAGAAAATCCACCATGGGTCGGAGCTTCTGATCGATGCTGTAGCTCAGGAGCCTCGGGCACAGCACGAGGAGCTTGCCGATCCTCTCCGGGCGAACGCCCGCAGCGCCCTCGAGGAATGCCAGCAGCGGGCAGAGCTTCTCCTCCACGCTGTGCATGAAGATCGATGGGTAGCGGTTGATGGTCTTGGCGATGTCGTCGCGCTTGAGCCCCATGGTCTGGAGGAACATCACCATGGGCTTGAGGCGCTCCTCCAGCGGCATCATGAGCAGCGGCGGGCAGCGCGCCACCACGGACGTGACCTTGCGCTTGGGGACGACGATGCTCTCCAGGTAGCTCCAGGTCGGCTGCATTACATCGGCCGTGGCGCTCGGGGAATCCACACTACCTGGGAATCGGCCGCTGCTATTGCAGCGGTCCACCATTCGGTCGATGCATTCTTCGCGGACGCCCTTGCTGCGCAAGAACTGCGCCAATGCCGACGCCGCGGCGCTCCCGGAACAGGCGCTCACCACCGCGGCCATCGTCTTCCTCCCTCCCCCAAAACCCTAACCCCTGCTTCCTCTCCGGCGGATAAGGCCCTCTCGGCTATGGTGGATCCAGGAACACGAAAGATGGGTTTTATTCTATGAATATTCCTGTACGGAATACTATGATCCGGGTATATGCCGTTCGTTTGAACGTTGTGTTCTAGGGTTTGTGGCGAGCGAGGATGTGGAACAAGACGGATCTCGAGGCGCTTACCGATCTCTTCTACCACGCGGATACATCAAGATCCTCTGAGGTATGCCGCCGCCGCTGCGATCTAGTTGGTCGATTTATCGATTTGCGCCGCTCCGTTGTTTTCAGGAATTCGCTCCTCCGACTCAGGCCACTCCATCGCCTGCCTCAATCGGCCCAAAATACGAGAAAAGTAAGCTCGATCGTTCTCTTCTTTTCGATCCCTTCTTGCGAATGGAATGGATTTCCTTCTCGCTTTTTTTTAGAGAAGAAGACTGCGATCGAAGAGGCGATTGAAGCGGCTGAGAATGACAGTCGAATTCAACCCGAGTAATCTCACACTCTTGTTCACTATCACGTAAGCATCGCGAATTGATGGATCGTTCTCTTTGACCATAGATACGAGTTTGTTTACAAGCAGGCAGTCACTCCAAACGATGTCTACCTCCAAATGGCAAGCAAATCAATCCTTCCGAGAATGCCAATCCTCACTCTCCTTTTCTAAAATCATTGGCTGCTCCAGAGCGACAAAACTCCATCCACGATTTTCTGCGAGGAGCTTGTGATGAAGATCAAGCTTCCAGACACCGAGTCTTCGAGCGAGATCAAGCTCGATGTGAAGCCAACGTATCTCAAGCTCACATCTCCTCGCTAGTAAGCTCAAAAATCTCCCATGTTTTCTACTCAATCCATCGCTATCGATTTTCTTTGATGCAGCTATCTCGCGACGTACCTTCCACACAAGGTGAACGATACCAGGAGCTCTGCCACGTGGGACGCCTTGTCAGCAACCCTCGTCCTCACAATGCCCATGGTGGACAGAAATATGCTTGCTGACTAGGCGCCACGACAATGACGTGCTGAGGATTCTACAGCCACGTCGGACACGTCTTACCCAAGATTCTTTAACTCGCTTGTGGCCGTTGGATTGCGGCCCATCTCCCACCTCTTGGGAGGAAAATTCATCGCAGAGCCAGGCGCTAGGGCTTGGATCGCGGCAGCGAATGGAGCTGGCGGCATAGATTCTAGCGCTGGATGGAGAGCGGCGGCGGCGGCGATGCCGATGCCGATTTCGATGCTCCGTCCAGCAAAGCTCTGGCGAGGAAGGAGATTGTGGCGTATGGGATTGGCCATATGCTCAATGATCTCACGGCCGCTTGCTGGTTCACGTATTTGCTCATTTACCTCACCGACGTCGGCTTGACTCCACGGTAGGAAGCGAGAATTTTCATCTTCCATCTCTCTTTTCTTTGTTTTTTTGGGGGGAGATTCTAACAATGGAATCTGTTAGAGAGGCTGCGCTGGTGATGCTTTGCGGCCAAGTTTCTGATGGACTCGCTACAGTCGCTGCTGGGTATATGGTAAGAAAAGGAACTTGTTCTTCGTCCATTGGACGGAGAACTCATTGTTTTTACTTCGTTTAGCTTTGTTGGTCAGATCGATTTGTTTGGAGGATTTAAGATATGGCATGGCGGAGGTTCGTTGCTTGTTTCGATCTCCTTTTCTTCCGTGTTTGGGGGGTGTTCCGTGTGTGTCATCACGGGAAACAAGACGCTTCTTGTGGAGACACTTGGCTACAGCGTCTTTGCGGCCATTTTTAATATCGGTTGGGCCGCAACTCAAGTCTCTCACATGTACGATTTGTCTCTTTCTCTCTTTTTTTCCTCCTTCACAAAGATTCCCGGCTTTGAACAGGTCTCTCGTTAATTGCATCACGGCAAATCCCACCAGCCGAGTGGCCTTGAACAGTTGTAGAAATGCCTTCACGATGGTGAAGTCTCTGAGTTTTTCTGCCTGTTTATAAACGTGCCATTCATTTTTTTATGTTCCTCCAGGTTGCAAATCTCTTGCTCTACGGCATCGCGTTCTTGGTTTTCACTTTCAAATCGAATGACAATGTTGAGAGACAGGTACTTAAGTTTCTTCTTTTTTTAGCTTGCTAATCTCCATCGCTGTCGCACAGTATCGGTGGATTGCCAGTGCTAATGTAGCTATAGGTGGCTTTTTTGTTCTCATATTTCTTCTAAGTGTAAAAGAACCAAGGTATGATAACTGTTACTCGAAACTTCCATAGCTTTTGTGTTGTTCCAGATTACAACACCATTTCCAGCCGAAGCTATACACCAAGATAAGTTTCGTGTCATGGTTTCGGAAGATTCTTTATTATCAAGTTGCGCTAGTTTACACACTTACCAGACTTACAACAAATGTTTCACAGGTCTTGCAACATACAACACCTTACTCCTTGATTCCCAGGCTAATATGTTTTTTTCAGGCCCTTTTAGCATTTTATCTCATTGACGATTTGTACATGGTCGAATCATCGAAGGCAGTGGTAAGTAAACCGATAATTCGTCGTGAGCATTGCTCTTATACCCCTTGTTTTCACAGGTTCCAGCAGTTATATACATGTCTAGTTTCTTCACTTCCATATGGCTCCAGGTACTTTGATGATTAAACGCATCCAAGATAAAACGCTCTATTCAGGAATGTCACTGGACAAGCTTCAGACTCAAAGTCGCCTTCACAACAGGAGCATCACTTTGGCTTTTTTGCGGGGTTGGATTCTTTTATTTGTCTAGTTCGTTTCAACTGTACATATATCCTCTAGCATTGGTCGTCGGAACAGGCAATGCACTAATGCTGGTAAGCCATCCTTTTTGTGCACTGCTTGGTCTCAACTATTTCCATGGTTCTCTCTCAGGTTACTGCTACCAGCATGGAAGGATTGCTAGTTGGCCACAGCTTAAGTGGATGTGCCTTCGTTTATGGCTCCCTGAGCTTGTGTGATAAACTTGCGTGTGGATTCGCTCTCTACGCGATTGAAGCACTTCATGGTCTGTGTTTCTATGATCTTCCTTTCGAGACTAACAAAACAGTTGCGCTTGCAGGAACCGAGACACCGGCATTTTGCTTGCTCAATGGACGCTGCAGCGTCTCTCTGGTTCGACGAGTGCTAGCTCTGGTTCCAGGAGGCTGTGCTGTCGCCGCAGCAGTCATCGCCTTGACAGCCAAGTTTGAGAGAAGAGGCGAGAACGATCCTCTGCGCGAGGAGCTCTTGCTTCCTCAAGCTCAGAGTAGCAGCACCACCACCACCACCAGCAGCGAGATAATCGAGATTCCATCGCCCGGAAGAAATCCAGAAGCGCCACTCTGGACGAAAATGGCTCACACAATGGTAGGACGATGGGGCTCGCTCAGAGAACCAAAAGCTCCTTGGCTCGACACGCCTTAGTAAAGCTAAAGAAATTCAAAGAAAAGCTAAAGAATATTCACCTACGAATAGCCTTAAGAATATTCGAATAAAGAATGTTCACACTGTGTATAAAGGTAATCGTCAACAGCAGGGTTCGAACCTGCGCGGGTGAAACCCAATAGATTTCAAGTCTATCTCCTTAACCACTCGGACATGTTGACTTTGACTATAATGTTTTTCATGGCAGCTAGAAATTAGTACGACCTAGAAGAATTTACTACGATGGAATCTCCTCTGGGAATATTTTCGTCCACTCTTGCTGGCTGTGCGGGCAGCGCTGCTTCGCAATGAGGGATTGTAGCGATAGATAGCAGCAGCTCTTCTTCATCGATATTTCGGGCAATCTGGGGTAAGATCGTCGCCTCTTGGCGCAGCGATCGCGCTAGCGCGCCATGGATTCCAATGGATCGGCGCCATCGGGCGCGGGGCATGGCGGTAAGGGGATCTTGGACCTCATCGTCCCCAAGAAGAAGGGCAGGACGGTGCTGCTCAAGGGCCGGGTCTTGATCCCCGAGTATCTCCGCAAGGCGATGTGCAATGCCGTGGCTACCAGCGGCGGTGGCTATGTCGAGGGCGCCAGTGCTTTGAGCGATCGGCAAGAGGATCACGCAGCCCCTTCCAGCCCGCTCATTGTGTTCGTCAATTCCAAGAGTGGTGGCCGCCTTGGGCCTGCCCTTGCCGGCCATTTGAGAGATCTCATCAGTCCAGAACAGGTACTATTGGAAGCTAAGGTTTCTCTTTTTCTCTCTTAGTTCTTTCTGGGGATACGTGAGAGAAAGCGATCTTTTCCTTTTTTTTTTTTTTTTTGTTTCTTCTCATTGCTCTCTTGTGCATTCCAGGTGTTTGATCTCAACGAGACAAAACCAACAGATTTCGTTCGTCATGGTTTGGGGTGCCTGGATGCTCTTGCGGAAAACGGCGATCAATGCGCAAGGCTCACACGAGAACGTCTTCGAATTCTCGTATGATGGATGGAGAAACTTTCACTTTGTTTTCTGAGCTATATGTTCCTCCACAGGTTGCTGGAGGCGATGGCACCGTGGGCTGGGTCCTTGGAAGCCTGGCAGAGCTTCACTTGGAGCATCGTGGACCGTGTCCTCCCGTTGGGGTTATTCCGCTTGGAACTGGCAATGATCTCGCACGGAGCTTTGGATGGGTGAGTTTTTTCCTTCGTTTTTGTCCAAGTTTACAACTTCTTTGCTGCAGGGTGCTTCTTTTACGTCCAAAGGAAGAGCTGCCGTTAAGGACTGGCTCTTGAAAGCAACGGATGGCTCAACTCCTCAACCTTTAGACTGGTGAGTGCTTCAATCTTTTTTTCTGTCTTATGTATGTTTCTCGTGTCGATCGCTTCCGCAGTTGGAAAGTGAGCATTAGAACGTCCACCGAAAAACCTATAAAGTGGCCGCACGCATTGAAACCGCAGCAACATATACCTCTTTCCACCGAGGCAAAAAAATATATTTTCTTACTTTCGCTCTTGTACATCTAAAGCCGCGTGCTTTCAGGGAGAACAGGACGAATACTCAGCGTCGTTTGAAGGAGTCTTCTACAATTATTTTAGCTTAGGTACTTGTTGCACGGTTTGGTTGTTGTGACTCTTGTTTTGTTTTTTTCCACAGGAATGGATGCGCAAGTTGCATACGGATTCCATGAGCTGCGGAATAGAATGCCGTGGCTTGCTCGAGGACCGATTGCTAACAAGGTCTTTGATTGTAATTCCTGACCGTTTCTCAGACTGTTTGGATTGTCCTCCAGATGATTTACTCGGGGTATAGTTGCTGGCAAGGCTGGTTTTGCACTTCATTATCTACTAATCCTCGGGCGCGAGGCGTGAGCACCGTTCTTCGTCTGTCCGTGAGGAAGAAACACGGAGACGACGGGTGGGAAGAAGTTGATGTTCCGTCGAGGTAAACCGAAACAGAAGTGTGCGGCAGAGGGAAATGAGATGATGTGATGTGGTTCGTATCTTCTCTGTAGCGTTCGAGCAGTGGTGATACTGAACTTGCAGAGCTATGCCGGCGGAAGAAACCCGTGGGGACATCCAAAGCCGGAGAATATGCAAAAGGTAGACTACTCCATTGGACATCGTCTTTAAAGTTTTAGTTTTGTTCTTCTCCAGAAAGGATTTGTCGAGGCCAAGCCCAACGATGGATATCTGGAAATCTTTGGCTTGCGAGATGGCTGGCACACGTCTCTGGTGATGGTCAGCCTCCTTAAAGCTGTTCGTCTTGCTCAGGTTTGTGAAAGTTCGTGTAGAACTTTTGGATATATGTTTTGACACGGCTTGGCAGGCTCAAGCTATCCGGCTGGAGCTCCATGGCGAGAAACGCGATCGAGCTTATATGCAGCTGGATGGAGAGCCGTGGAAGCATCCGCTAGACCCGAATGGGAAGCCTGTGATTGTAGAGATTGGCAGGGTTTCCATTCCATCCACAATGCTTAAGGCTACGTGATAAGTGTTGCAAGCTTTACTGATTCTTAGTCGCTGGGAGGGCGCCATCTTTCCTTCGATAACGTCAATAGCTATAAACTGGTTTATTCTGGTATATAATTCATAATTTAGATCATTAAATCGCAATGTTAAATATATGAATTATTACATATTAAGAATAGAATTTGCTAAAGTCTAAGCTGCACGCCGCAGTGAGGTTGGAATTGGGCCACGGCTCCACATAATCGCCATGGAGGAACGTTAGCGCGACCGCTCTATTAAAGCTCTCGCAAAAATGGAGGCCATCCCAACTTATATAAGCTTGGGGATCTTCACACACTGGAGTGGAACTGATACATGGAGATACTGGAACATTATACTTTCCTCCGCCTCCACAACATGCAGTTAAGGTACCATTGGGATGCAGTCCTACATTAAAAAAAACATACAAATTAATTAATATTGTGGAAAAAATAAGATAATACTTAGAAATTACCGTATTGTGTTGGATTTGTGACTGCATCTAAGTGGACTTGATAATAATCTCCATACATGATGAAAGCCTGCGGGAGAGTTAGCCTGAGATTTGATAGAGCCACGCGGAGCTGTGAAGCGTAAGCTTTCGCAGCATCGTTGTGATTCTTAAGGCATCCCAGGGAATCGTAGTCACCCGGGTTTGCGGTGCCGAATTTGCTGAGGAAAGCTGGAAGGCAGCCAACTGCTGGAATGTTCATCACCATGAAAGTCCTCGCTCCAAATCCATATAGTCTCTAAAGAGAGGTTACACCTTTTTCTTAAGAAATAATTTGGTTTTGTCTTTTGATTTTGTTTACCTGGACAGCTTCCGAGACTGCATGCACTGCATCAGGAACCACCTTGTTCTTGACGTCAGAAACACTCAAATTATTGACCATATAGTTCTGATAGAAATCGTTGATACCGATTGAGATCCAGTGGAGGGCTGTGGAGAAGATGCTAAATGGTGGTAAGCTGGCACCTCCTGTAATAATTAAACAAAAAAGGGGAGGAAAACGTAGAAAAACAGACAGAATTTCTCGTTTTACCTTGGGCATTATATATGTTTCCTTTTAAATAAATGTAGTGATTGACTTGCCTGTAGAGGTAAAAAGGAACAGAGATGGAAGTATTGCGAGCTGTTGAAGAAGAAAATGCAAAGTTGACACCGTTTGTATAGTCTGGCAAAACGTTTTGAAAATATGGAGCTAGGAAAGGAGCACGGAACGCTTGAGCTACACAAACAACGCCAAATAAAAAAATATGTTAGCAATCAAGAAAATTATTTTTTTAAAAAGAAAAAAACAGGTATAAAGGAGTGAAAAGTAAAGAAAAAAAAGCAAGCTTTTTCCCTCGAAGTATAGCTAGCGATTGATTGATCAAAAAATTCACACTAGGAAACTTGCTGTCAGGCACTTTGTGTAGCTACGAAACAAAGGTTCTACCTAAGCTTCATGGTTTGCGGATATTTTTCTCTGACATTTTTTTAGTTGATGCATGGAGTTTGCCAGGCAGGCAATTCAAGCAAAACTTGCATGAAGTTTGGACCACCACGACCACCACCTAAACAAAAACTTTAACGTACCATATGGATGCTACAAGAACAAAATGTCTACGTACGTTTCTACTGCAGAAAGGATCTCTCGCGAGTTTTCTAAATGCCAAGAAAGTCGGGACGAGAAAAGGAAACATAGAAAATTTAGAGAGAATCTGCAAAGTTTGTCAAAGAGGTTACCTATGAAATCGATGACGAGGCGACCATTGCTGGCCCGGAATGGCAGCTTGGTCGCGGCCTTGCTGGATTCGAATTCCATGTCGAGCTTGGCACCATCGTAGGCTGCACGAATGTCGAGATAATTGAAGAAATTGTGGACTCTGGAACTCTGCGGTGATAGAACTTGGATTGCGGAGGAGGAACTCGAGGATGTAGAAGGCGCTGGTGGATCTGGAAACGCAGCTGCGTAATTCCCAGTGTCGGCGAGAGAGTCTCCAAAGCTGAAAATCCCCACGGGGCAAGTCAGAGTGGCAGCGGCATTGGAATTTAGCAGAGAATTTGTGAGCAGGAGCAGGAGCAGCAAAAGAGAGGGAACATTTGCAGGCACCAGTACCAAAGAAGGAAAAGCAGCCATTTCTTCTTCTTCTTCTTACAGGAAGGACTACACTCCTTTGGCTCGACCAAGAAAAGGCTTTAAAAAGCTTCATGAATTATATACAGCTTTGAACCACCGTTCTTCCGCGTAAATTTATTCAAAACCTGTTGCTAAATCGCTGTCAATGTTTGTATGTGTGCGGTTTGATTCCAGAACACGTAGGATTATTAATATAATGTGCATAAAAGGTGTTTGTAACGCTCTTTCTCTCATCGTTATTCTTTCGGTTGGTTTGTTAGAATTATATTTTGATAGTATTATTATTGTATTAGCATTTCTTTGGATGCCAACCGGAAACAATGAATTTGAGAGCTCAGTTTGCACCGAACTCGTGCTGCCATACAGCCAGATCCGAGAGAGATCGAAAAGCCCAGAGTTTGTCTCTCGGCAGCTCTCTTCACTGGCTTCTCTGTGGACAAATTGTGACACTTGAATAGTTCGCCCATTGACGCCTTGCGGAACTTTTGCCAGAGAACGCGAGTGTGTTGCTGCGAATTGAACGAAAACGAGGAATATGCTTGTCAGCAATGGTGGGATCTCTTGACAGTAGAAAAAGTATTAAAGATCACTATGTTCTAGCTTATGGTGACTTGGCGCCACGTGGCATACACGCAAACATGCCACGTAAGCGGTAGGACCACTTGTATCAACCGAGAAAAAGGGCAGGAAGAAACGACGACCCTTCCTCTCGTTAGATTCCCACTCGAAATAACCTTCCTTGTTAGATACTTGATCCAACGGCTGGCATCCGACGACCGGAAGCGCTCAAGCTAGGGCAGCCTCGAGCTTCGCAAGAACGGAGAGCGCGGCTCGGCGGAGGCGGGGAATCCTCAGGTATGTGCTAGCATTCGATCGATAGGCTTCTCACATTTCCTCTCGCAGCTCCAGGAATGGCCGCCGTTTCGTGGAGCGCGCTCGATATTATGGAGAGATCAGCGCTGTCGCGAGCTCCGGGAGGTGAGAGGCAGTGGCAGGGGCACCGGGCAGCGCTGCTAGATCTCTCGCCGATATTCCGTGGCCGCGTCCGCGAGAGGAGGAAGCTCGGCATCGTCGCCGCCAGCCCGCCAGCGGAAGAGACCGCCGTGAAGGCAGAGCCTCTGACGAAGCTCGACCTGGTGGATTACCTGGCGTCGGGATGCAAGCCAAAGTCCAAGTGGAGGATCGGCACCGAGCACGAGAAGTTTGGATTCCGGATGAGCAGTCTGGAGCCCATCGACTACGACCAGATCGCGCAGCTGCTGGAAGGTCTGGCGGAGCGATTCAACTGGCAGAGGGTGATGGAGGGAGACAAGATCATCGGTCTCAAGCAGGACGGGCAAAGCATCTCGCTGGAACCGGGTGGCCAGTTCGAGCTCAGCGGTGCTCCACTGGAAACTCTCCACCAGACGTGTGCCGAGGTAAACTCCCATCTCTACCAGGTGAAAGCGGTGGCCGAGGAGATGGGACTGGGCTTCATGGGGATGGGATTCCAGCCAAAGTGGCCGGTGGAGAAGATCCCAGTGATGCCCAAAGGGAGGTACCAGATCATGAAGAACTACATGCCGAAAGTTGGCAGCTTGGGCTTGGACATGATGTTCCGGACGTGCACAGTTCAGGTGAATCTCGACTTCTCGTCCGAGGAGGACATGGTGAAGAAGTTTAGAGTGGGACTGGCGCTGCAACCGATCGCCACTGCGGTGTTTGCGAACTCGCCGTTCAAGGAGGGCGTTCCCAATGGTTTCGTGAGCTACCGGAGCCACATCTGGACGGACGTGGATAGAAACAGGACAGGCGATCTCCCGTTCGTCTTCCAGGATGGTTTCTCGTTCGAGAGGTACGTGGAGTACGCTCTCGAGGTGCCCATGTACTTCGTGTACAGGGACAAGAGGTACGTGGATTGCACGGGGCAGTCGTTCAAGGATTTCCTCGCCGGCAGGCTCTCCAATCTCCCCGGCGAGCTCCCGACGCTCAACGACTGGGAGAACCACTTGACAACCATCTTTCCAGAGGTCAGGCTCAAGAGATACTTGGAGATGAGAGGGGCTGACGGGGGGCCGTGGAAGAGGCTGTGCGCTCTCCCAGCCTTCTGGGTGGGGATTTTGTACGACGAAGAAGCTCTGGAATCGGCGTCCAAGATGGTGGAGGGCTGGACGGAGGGGGAGAGGGCGATGCTGAGAAGCAAAGTTCCGAGGCTGGGATTAAGCACGCCGTTCCGGGACGGGCAGCTCAAGCACGTAGCGCAGGAGGTTTTTAAGCTGGCCAGGGATGGGCTGCAAAGACGAGGCTACAAGGAGGCTGGATTTCTCAACGACATTGCTGAGATTGTGAGAACGGGGGTGACACCGGCAGAGAAGCTGTTGAGTCTGTATGAGGGGAAGTGGAACAAGAGCGTGGATCCAGTTTTCCAGGAGCTACTCTACTAGTGCTAATTACGAACCGTGTGTGCAAGGAGTTCTGAGAAATTTGTGACCAGAAAGAAAAGGAAGGAGTTGTGATGACTGACTAGCTTTCCTTTTTCTGTATGATCAAATAAAATCATGATGCTAGATTTATCCTTAAATGTGCCAAAACTATCATCAAAATAGAAATCTTTGGAACATCTGGAACTTTTTTTGGGCTATTACACACCACCACAAAAACTTAACTCATCTGGAAAACATTGTTGTTAACCATGATATATATTCCAAAGCTACCACAAAAACTTGCCCTGTAAGACATTGTTGTTAACCATGATATAAGCTTCAAACGAACTACAAATCCCAATAAACCAGCCTACAACTTCTAGTTCGTGTTCAGGCTTTTTGAGTTTACCCTTAAAATGTCCAAGTTCAAAAGTTCACCAATTGGTATATAACATAGAAGAAAAATTAATATCTACACCATGTACTTTAAGAAATGAGAAGTTTGGTTTCTTAAATCTCTTACCGGCCTACAACTTTATTTGCAACTTGGGGAGTTCACTCTTTGCATTTGAGTTTACCTTTAAATATATTATCTAAATTCAAAAGCTCA